AAATCCTACCCATTCTTCAAAGCATGGTTTAAATGTCACCTCCTCTCATATCCTTACAACTAAAGGTAATCTCTCCCTCCTCTCTCTAACTTATACCTCCTTATCTTTATCTCTTTACTACATATTACTTTCTGCTTTACATTATCTTCATTTCCATATTTAATCTCCCACACAAGCATAAAGCCTCAGGGTCAAGGTTCATACCTTATTCATCTCTGTTCAAACTGCTTAACACATCTTACACATATTAAGCTCTCTGAGTTCCAGAGGTTAGGAAGAGAGATAAATCCACTACATATAACTCCAGATTAGGAGTCCACAGACCCCACTTTGTAATGACTAGCTATATGACCATGAACTTCAATTTTTTAGTGTATTCATCCACAAAGTCAAGAAAGTGGACTAAGCGAGTTTTTAACCATAGACAGTTATCCATTATCAGGCTGTAAAATCAATTTTGGCATCAAAACCCAGCATTATCTTTTTAATAAAATGAAGTAAAATAGAAAATATCAAAGTATGTTGTAGGCAGTGAAGTGGTACACTATGAATTTTTAACTAGCTATCCAAAGGAGAGAGAAAAGCTCTGAACTGTAACATCTGTTGATGTCCCTGGTGTAAATACTCCCACCAAAGCCAATTTCAAGCTACACATGCACCTGGGTGGAAAGAGAGGCATAACTACTCTTACAAGTCAACTGATAAGCCAGCTCCAGCAAAGGCCTGAAACGACAAGTATTATTTCACCAAAATTTTCTTTCAACTTCGTGTGTGTGTGTGTGTGTGTGTGTGTGTGTGTGCATGTTGAATCGGTATAAAATATATTTCTTACTGTGAGTCACAGTTAAAACCATTCATAAATGTTCAGCTAAACAATCTCCTAGTCCTCTTCCATATGTACTACATAATGCAATAAACTGCACTCTTAGTTACACATGTAATCTCTTCAACACCAAAATTTATATGTCTCTTCAAAAATGAGTAAGAAAGATGCCTACTGGTATCACCAGAAGGCAAATTACAGGAAGTGAAAATTTGGCTTAGGAAGTACTAGCAAAAGACCAAGGTTCTCAGCCTTTGTTCAGTTACAACCCAGAGCTACAACATCCTCCTACTAGTTGCAATGGCTCATTTAGCAAAGGGTTAGGGGAGACAGGAGGAAAGGAAAAGGACATCTATAGTATGAAAAAAGGTCCATGTAATTGTGAATACGTGCCCTTCACCCACCGAACTAAGAACCTTGTTGTTTTTGTTCAGCCACTCAGCCCTGTCCAACTCTTTGCAACACATGGACTGGAGCCTGCCAGGCCCCTCAGTCCATGGGGTTTCCCAGGCAAAAATATTGGAATGGGTAGCCATTTCCTTCTCCAGGGGATCTTCTCGACCCAGGGATTTAACCCGCATTTCCTGCAATGCAGGCGGATTCTTTACTACTGAGCCACCAGGGAAGCCCTTGCTTAGAACCTGGGTACAAAGAAAACCAGAGCTATAAAAAGGGTAATTTCCATCCCTGATGTTTCTCTGTCAAATTTTCCAGCACAAATCTGCATCCCTCAATAGACTTCCATTACTGAGAATCCCCTACTACTAAAATTAAGTTTTTGCCAGGGACTAGAGACATGTAGTACTTGTTGAATTTAGAATAGGCAAGGGGAAATATAGCACAGCAAACAGTTGTTAGACTTGATATTCTGGGAAAATCAGGCTTTTTATTGAAAAACATACTTTCTTACTTTCTTCTTATTTAAGCTTACTAAACTGGGTGAGAAGGCAAGTTTATTGAATATATTTTTGGCTGTACTATGTCTATCACAACAACACAGTCTGTAACCAGATTTTTCCTGAGTGTTTATAAAGAATTGTGTTTCCTATTTTTAAGGTTATTTAGAAAACTAGGAGGCTCAGAATTTCAAGTAGGCTAATAATGGTAGCTCAAATCTAACTCCAAATCAACTGAATATATGCACAGAAGTTTCCCAGGAAAATCCCAAAAATTACACCAGAAAATACAAAAGATGAAAAAAAGAAGTCAGCATGAACACAAGCCAGCAATACTCAATTGTAGTATCCTATCTGTTGCATGAGTACAATATGGAAAGTAAGTGAAGTATGAAAAAGAGAACATTGGGATACAAATTCTACTTAATTCCATTAACTATTCCTTATTAGGGTCTGCTGATAGGTCCTTCTACCCCATTTTAAATATTGACCATCAAGTGAAAATTATTCAGTTCAGTTCAGTTGCTCAGTCATGTCCGATTCTTTGAAAAACGAAGAGTCAAGTCAAGCAATGTCTTTCTTCATGGTCACAATATTAAACCTTGCCTTAAAAACTGAGTGTTTTACCATACTCAGGCTCTAGTCAGTATTTTCTTTGCCTCCACTATCTGTGGTGCCAAATGCTCATAGGACCATCTCTATAACAGGCTGTACCAGAGGCTGGAATAGCCTGGGGCTGCTGGTCATGCTCAGATCCACTGGCTAACCTATGTATAGAAAGTAAGCGCTATACCTGGGCTTCCCTGGTGGCTCAGCAGTGAAGATCCACCTGCAATGCAGGAAACATGGGTTCGATCCCTGGGTCAGGGAGACTCCCTGAAGGAGGAAATGGCAACCCACTCCAGTATTCTTGCCTGGGAAATCCCATGGACAGAGGAGTCTGGAGGGCTATAGTCCATAGGGTGGCAAAGAGCAGGACACAACTGAGCAACTGAAAATACACAAACACACATACAAGAGCTATACACATGTAACAACTCATTAAAACTTGTGAGACATAGCAAAAAGAAAACTCTGTGCCTGGCAATCCCACAGCCTACAGTATCTCCATCCTCCAAACATCCTCTATTCAGCCACTAAGACCCCACACCACTTCAAGACAACAGCAGGCTAGAATTCAGACCAATTTCTACACCCTCAAAACAAGAAAGTTTTGCTACTTAGCTACTACTCTCTTGAAAGCTAATCTCTCAAAGCCTTGTTAGCTCCCACTCATAATTTTTTAACTTGGCACAAGAGAATTCCTTCCTTTGATTACTCCAAAAGAACGGATAAAAGGACTTTGAGCTTCAATGCTGTACCATCTGAGTTCAAATAAATATATACTAACTGAATGTGCTCAACTTTGGGTTAAGGCAAAGAAAATTTTAAGTTTTTAGAAATCACAAATTTAGAACTGATGAGCTGATAAAACATAAAAACTGTTTCACATACCCAATAAAATTCTGTTACTCAAGTTTTAAAACACCGTAATAACCACTAAGGTGAAAAGAAAATTATCTGAATTATGAAACAATTAGCAAGGGCACAAAAATTCACAGAACACTGCAACTATAACATATAAAAATTAACATCAAATAACTCAGGCCAAAAAAAAAAAAGTCACACATTTACACCCTTTATGCCTTTTATGCCTGTTGGTATATTCACTATGTCCCAGGAGTTTGTTCCCAGCTTCCTACTTTGTTTCCAGCTTCCTAGAATATAATGTAGGCTATGTAATACATTCACATATAAAGACTGCCCAGATACATCACTTCTCCCCAGATGACCTGTCAATACAAAATATCAGGGCACATTTTGACCTCATTTAAGACTCCAGTCTCAGTCTCAACTAACTCCCCAACCAAACAAGCATTTAATACAATTTGAAGATAATGTATACCTTAAATTCACCTGGCTTTTCTCCTTTGTAGTTTCATTGTCAGTTTCACATGGGACTCTGTTGAAATAATGAATCACAGGCCAGTTTTCCAATACTGGCAACTTGTGGACCAGTATTTTCCATGGGAAAAACCCATTCCCAATTTTACCACAAGGAAACTTCATGTTAGTATCTTCTGCCATCATTCTACAAATGAGCAGATATTCTACAGAAGTGCAGCAGAAGCCACACATAAACACTATTATAAGAAAAGTCAGGTTTTCGTGATACCGTGTTTTCAGAATTATAAAAAGCAACTACCTATCTCCCCAGTACATACAAGAAAATTTTAATGTATTTTTAAAAATCCCTAAACCTTCCAACACCAGAACTGCAGACCTTGAAATCAAATTTCCAGCGTTGAAATCTACCAGGCAAGTGAAAGCTGTCCTTACCATCAGCAAAATGAGGTTGGCATTTCCCATCACTTACATGAAACTCTCAATTCTACAAGTGACCACGTAAATTTCGGTACGTTTTCTAAACTGATCCTATCTAAGAAGTACAGGGAGAATACACAAGCACCTGGACACACTAACCTGGGATCAGAAACAACCCTATCGGTCCAGTTCCCTAGCACCCGAACACCTCCCCGCTGGCCAGTGGCCCCTTTCCACATGCTGACGCACTGCCCAGCCCTGCACCGCTGGCGACCAGTGCAAAGTACTAGTCCAGTCTCAGAAACTTTGACTCAGTTATCAGGACACTGAGCACCCACGACCTGGACGGGGGATGTTTGGCATGGCCAGGCGGTCAACTTTGAAGCGGGGCATTCTTTGCAGGTAGAGATCTGCCCAGCACGCAGCCCATCCCAGCCAGCAAAACCACAAGCATCAACAGCAGGAGCGGAGCAAAGTGCCTGGCGGAGACAGGGGGAGCGCGAGGGCGAGACGCGGTCACGAACAGATGCCTGAACGTGGGTAAGAAAATACCCTCACCACACGCCCACCCCCACCCCCGGACGTGAGGCTGCTGGGACAGCGACCCCGGCAGCAGCCGGCGGCAGTGTCAGGAGGGCACATCTGGAGGCGAGCGCCCAAGTCACCACCCCGCCCCCAGGTGAGGGGCGCCGGCCCGCCCCGGCCCCGAGGAGCGGCCGCCAGGGAGAACCACCGATGTCCGCGGAGCCACCGACTGTCCCGAGCCTTCCTCCCGCGGTCCTCTCGCATCCCGTCCCGTCCCGGCCCCCACAGCTACGCTCCCCCGGCGCAGCCCCGGCGCCAACATCCCCAGCCCAGCCCGCGGCTCCGGGCCGCTGATGCGCCCGCCAGCCCCTAGCAGGCCGCCCTCGCCTCACCTCCTCCCGTCTTCGCGGGAAGGGCCGGAACAACTCTGCCAGGCGCCCGCGTCGCACCCGTCGCCCAGCGTTCTGCGGCCCGGCCCGTCCCGTTCACTCTGCCGCCGCCGAAGCCCTGGGAGGGCGGAGGGAATAGGGCGGAGGGAGCGGAGAGAGGAGGGGAGGAGGGCCGCCCGGCAGGAAGAGGCTAGGGAGGGGGCGGGCCGGGGAGGAGGAGGTGGTGGCGGGTCGGGAGCGCGCACGTCCGGGCCCCTCGGCGCGGCGTGCACGCCCCTGAGGGGCGGAGGCGCCTTCTCAGCCCGGGGCGGCGGGCGCGCACGCGCGTACACGTCCGCGCCTGGCTGTGTTTGGGTTAGCGTCTGAGTGAAGACCTGGCCCACCTAGACTGTGAAGAGTAGGGACCCGGGAACGAGCTAGAGACGCTCGCGGTGCTTCAGAACTTCCCACAGCTTAACCACGCCGGGAGCCCCGCCGCGCGGGTTCGCTAGGGCGTCCCCGATCTCCGAGCGAGTTGGGCTGAAGCCTTGCCCAGCGATTACTGATCTCTTAGATAATTCTTACTTTGGGGCGATTGTGTTCTTACTCATAAACCTGGTATACGTATATTGTCATTCTTAATGCCCAGTACTCCTCAGGGAAGTCACCTTAAAGAATTCTAACTTCTCTCATGAGTTACTCTTTTCTGTGCCTCTTTCAAGGTGTCTTGTGGGCCTTATAAAGGTTCCTTCTGTGGGACTCAGGAGAGATTGAAAAGGAAAATAACCAGTGGGGATTAAACAGGAAGCACTATTAAGTATTTATGAAGAAAACTTACCCTCATTTGCACCTTTTTATCCTGTGGGGTAATAAATTTGGGGATACAAACTAGCTGAGATAAAAATAAGCCAACTCTTTAATTGACTAATACTGTACTGATCCTTAAACTGGATATCCTTCATCCTAGATCTTGCAGGCAAAAAAAAAAAAAATGACGAGGAATTTTTCTGAATTTCCTTAGCACTTTGTTTCTAAAGGTTTGTGGCACCAAATATATTCAGCCTTATCTGGGTAAATTTGTGCGATACTTTAGCCCACTAAAGAATCTTTTGAGGCTCTGCTTCATTTTTATCTTCCACCATGCCTAGCATAGCATCTGACTTAAGAGAAAGTACTCCATAAATGTTATTGTATAAATAAGTGAAGACATCGCAGGAGCAGTTAGATGTGTCCAGTGATTTCCACTCTAAACTGACTTCTTTAGTTTAAAATTCTCTCTCCTACTTAAATTTTTCTGCACTCATTTCCCCACCTGGATCCAAAAACTACCCTGAGAAATCCCTAATTTAAATATCTATAGATGCTAGGGAGCTTCCCTGATAGCTCGGTAAAGAATCCACCTGCAATGCAGGAGACCCTGGTTCCATTCCTGGGTCGGGAAGATCCCTTGGAGAAGGGAAAGGCTACCCACTCTGGTATTCTGGCCTGGAGAATTCCATATATGGTATAGTGGACTATACACTGTATAGTCCATGGGGTCGCAAAGAGTCAAACAGGACTGAGGGACTTTCACTTTCATAGATGCTGGGACAGACCAAGAGGATTACAATTGTTTAATATTTCCCCTAGGTGCTGGGCTTCTTCCTAGGAAATCCTTTAACCTCTGTATCCCAAGAGTCTACCTAACTCTGAGCCTGACCCAGTAAATGCTGAACTTTTGGTATTTAATAAGGTTAAGGTCAGAATAACTCAGATCATCTGTATCTATTAATAAAGAAGCCAACAAATATGTACTGAGCCTCTACTAAATAAAATACTAGTAAAGTTACTCTGGGCACAAGGATGTCAACAGATGAAAATGACATGATTTCTGCTTTCTAAAATCTACTAACTGAAAAAAAAAAAGTTTTCTGACAAAAAGCGAAACACCGTGACAATTATCTGTACTCACTAAGAAAGAGACCCCCAAAAAAAGGAACTAAAAGTTTTAAATCATAAGTTCAAAATAAGTTTAGTGTTCCCATATTCAGTACCGCAAGCCTTTGGCAGCATAAGAATGTCTACCATTGGCTGTTGCTAGTTAATTGTCTTATTAAACTGGAGCATAACAGCTAAGTCACTATTATAGGATCATTGATGTGTCAGCTTGCTACAAGGAAAAGTACTCTGTCCCATAGCCACATGTTACACCTCATAATCACAAGGGGTCATTCTGTAAAACTGAACTGTTCCTCACAATAGAACTTGGATAAGAGATATCACAAGAGAACCTAGATAAGAGGCGAGTCACAAGAGAACACAGATAAGAGACAGTGAAGGTGATTTGATACAAACACATCCTCACTACCAGAAAAACAGTTCTAAGTATGTGCCAGAGAACTAGTAACAAAGCCTTCTTCGCAAAATGAGTACTGCTCACTTCTCTCACCACTATGGCTTCCTTAGCATTAAACATACACCAGCAGCCCTGGTTCATAAGAGGACTGAGGCTGTCACTTTGAGGGAAGGTGTTATAAAATGTTTTAACATGATTCATAACATGAAAACAGTGGCCTAGATCCAGATTTAACCTGCAAATGCATTTTGTTTAGCCTGCCTGGTGCTTAAAAAGTTAGCCAAAGTTCAAAGCCAGAAGATTGCACATTCTTTTCAGCCTTCTTTTTAAAAAGTGGAAAATTTGGAAACAGTGAGATTACGGTTTCACATGGTGACAGAAAGCTACAGGACATGCATTGTCTCTTTTGCAAAGTCTCTGCATTCCTTATTGTACCTCACATTGCCCTGTTTCTTTCATGTGGGTCTGCAGTTCCCAATTTTAAATATCAGAATATCAAAAACTGGAAAGAAGTTCAATGTTGAACAAAAATGGAAGAGTTTAAAGTATAGTATTTAAGCAGGTGGAATTTTTAAAAAATAAAGTCTTATAATCTTTTTATAGCTTTATTTATTTATTCATTATATTTTGGTTGCACTGGGTCTTCATTGCTGTACCCAGTCTTTCTCAAGTTGCAGTGAGCGAGAGCTACTCTTTGTTTCGGTGAATGGGCTTCTCATTGCAGTGTCTTCTCTTGTTATGTAGCACAGGCTCTAGGAATATGGGCTTCAGTAGTTGCAGCACACAGGCTTTAGTTGCTCCAAAGCATGTGGGGTATTTCCAAACCAGAAATCAAACCCACGTCCCCTGCATCAGCAGGCAGATTCTTATCCACTGTACCACCAGGAAAGTCTGGAGGTGGAATGTTATCTTGTTTTTATGATGAGTATTACTGGTTGATTCCCACCCACGTGTGCATTTCCAGCCCTCTGCAATTAGAAGGCAGCTAATGATTTGAATGGGAATAGGCCCAGCTCCAAGTGTAGACCCTGACTGAGGTACACAATCAGTCTAATCAGGTCTTCACCTGATTCTGTCAGTGATCGATGCTAACACAGATCTAAATTGGCCCAGTATAAGGAAGGCCTGAGCTTGTGTTGAAAGAAAAGTGCCCTCCCACCTTTCTCTCTCTCTCTGTCTCTTTGCTGAGTGTGATAGATGAATGTCAATCCCATAGTTACTGTAGCCAGTTTGCTGCCCTAAGTGAAGTCAGCCTGAAGCTGACACACGACACACAAGCTCGAACCCAGAATGAAACCGACAACCTTCCTCTGCATTTAGTAACTTTCCTAAGCCAATAAATTTCCTTATCTATTTAAGAAAGTTTGAATTTGGCTTTTTGTTACTTGCAGCCAAAGCTAAATTTTCCATGCATGTTACAGAAGAAAAAGCTGTAGTTGCATTATTTGACACTTCTAAGAATACCCTTCCAGTGGGATGAATAGGTAACAACCTACTTGGTAAAATTCAACAAGGTCTTGAAAGGAACTTCACCACCACCATCCCCCAAATCCTTCCCTGACTAGGTAACCTTATCTCTTAGAATCATCACTACATTAAAAAAAAACAAACAAACAACCGTGACTTCAATCCTCTGCCCTGTTTAAATCAGCTTTCGGTGAGAAAAGCATCAGTAATCTTGTGTAAATGAGTTTATCATATGGGTTTGGAGCAGTTTTTTACTATTGGAAAGAGAAAAAGAGACAGTGGGAACCTGAGGAAGGAAAGAATCAACAGAGAAAGATGTAATAGAAGAGACTATATATTGCTAGGACTTTCCTGGTGACCCAGTGGTGACCCTGGTGACTCTGCACTGCTAATGCAGAGGGCCCAGATTCGATTCCTGGTCAAGGAACTAGATCCTACATCTTGCTGCGACTAAAAGATTCTGCAAGCCACAAGAAAAGCTTGCACATGCCACAACTAAGAAAGAAGATCCCACATGCTGCAACTAAGACCTGATGCAGCCAAATGAAAAAAAAAAATTTTTATAAAAAGAGACCATAGATATATTGTAGAAGACAATTTTTTATATTTCACAGTTCTATGTATGGCTGAAATTCAGATTGCATGTGCATGTGTGCTAAGCAGCTTCAGTAGTGTCCAATTTTGTGTTACCCTATGGACAGTAGCCCACCAGTCCTCTCTATCCATGGGATTTTCCAGGCAAGAATACTGGTGTGGGTTGCCATGCCTTCCTCCAGGGGATCTTCCTGATCCAGGGATCGAACTCACATCTCTTACATCTCCTGCATTGGCAGGTGGGTTCTTTATCACTAGCACCACCTGGGAAGCCCCAAATTCAGAATAATTCATGAGCACCATCATGTAGGCTTCACCAGACTAATTCACGCAAGTCATAGTAAGCCTACATGATGGTGCTCATGTAAGCCTCACAATTTTGCCACTCTCAACTAAGTTGCTTCAGTCATGTCCAACTCTGGAAGACCGTACAGCCCATAAACTGCAAGGGCCCTCTGTCCATGGGTTTCTACAGGCAAGAATACTGGAGTGGGTTGCCATACCCTCTCTTCAGGGGATCTTCCTGACTCAGGGATGAAACCTGTGTCTCTTGCGTCTCCTGCATTGGCAGGCGGGTTCTTTACCATTAGTGCCATGTGGGAAGCCCAAGCCTGCATGATAAACCAAACCTATTAAATCACCCTTTTAAGACTAAATAAGTGCAAAATCAAACAATATGTATATAGGAATCAGAAAATTTCCTCAG